TATTTGCCAACTGGAGCAGGTCCCTGAGGACCTGCAATGGGGACGGAGAGAAAATCACTCCCAAGAGACATTTAAATGGAAACTGAGAAGCTGCAAGATAGTGTGAGCACCAGCCGGGTAAAGATTGAGACCTGCATGGGCACAGGAGGAGTCCTGGGGTTTGCTGAACCAACGTACAAGCAGTGAACTGGGTAAAACGGCAATGTAGGGCCCAGGTGTCCCGGTCCCTAAGATGCTTCCAAAGCCCCCTCCCATACCCACCAGGCTGATCACAGGACGGATCATATATCCCACCCCTGCCTAAGGTTCCCAGGACACCAAACACATGGCTGGGGCAGGGGCACATATAGTGAGCCACACATAGCCTGGTGACAATCCCTCTGATAGATACCCTGATGTTCAGGGACCCAGCCTCATTCATTCTTTCAGCCAGCACCTTACCCAGTGCCTGGCCAGATTCAAGTTCTCAAGGTGTGTGTGTTAAATGAGTAGATGAAAGAATGACAGAGGAATGAAATGCCGGAGGACAGTGCCCATTACCACTTGCCTGACTTGAATCCCAACTTAGTCTGGATGAGGAGCAGAGAGCTGATTTCAGTGCTTGGGCTTAGGTGGTGGTGTGCAGAGAAGAGCTGTTTTCAAAAACAAGGCAAGGGTTGTGGAATGTTCCCTATGGTGCCCCCCACACCCACCAGTCCTGCTCATGTGTCCAACCTGCTCCTTCTCAACACTGCTTCTTAACCAGCTCTGTGGCCCTTCCCTCTCTGAACCTCAGTTTGCTCATCTGTAAAATGGGATAATTGTAGTTCCAACTCTATAGGGTTGAGTAAAGAGTAAATGACACTGTGTTTGTAAAAATATAAAGTGTGCAATGCCTGGCACATAAATGCTCAATTAATGGCTGTTATGACAATGATATTAAAGATCTATACACACTATTTAAGCTCCCAGAGCAAACACTGTAGATAAGCCATCAAGCCTTTCAAAACCATATCCAGGCCAGGCAGGGTGGCTCACGCCTGTAATCCTAGCACTCTGGGAGGCCGAGGTGGGCGGATCACTCAAGGTCAGGAGTTCAAAACCAGCCTGAGCAAGAGCAAGATCCCATCTCTACTATAAATAGAAAGAAATTAATTGGCCAACTAAAAATATATATAGAAAAAATTAGCCGGGCATGGTGGCGCATGCCTGTAGTACCAGCTACTCAGGAGGCTGAGGAGGATTGCTTGAGTCCAGGAATTTGAGGTTGCTGTCAGCTAGGCTGACGCCATGGCACTCTAGCCCGGGCAACAGAGTGAGACTCTGACTCAAAAAAAAAAAAAATCCTATCCAAACTATCCTTAGCTGCACCCCCCCCTCCATTTCCATTTCCCAAGGCAGCAGGCCACCCCCAAGGTCCCCTAGAGAGAACAAGCATCCTCACAGCATGAGATGCCTAAAGACAAGGTGCTTCGGCCAACAGACAGCTCCTCTCCCCCCTCATCTGGCCTTCTGGTATGAGTCCTGACCTGCATAGCTGTCCCACATCCTGGGGTCCACTGCTGACCTGGCCCTAAGCCAGAGCCCTGACCGTAGGCCAGTAACACAGGTGGCTTCCAACACTTCAGCCAGAGCAACCCCACGTGCCATCCTCTCTGTAGGGTTCTGCTGACTTCCCCATGTTCCTGACCCCTCACTGGCCAGGGAGCCCTTAATGATAATCTGTTCTTTTTTTTTTTTTTTTGAGACAGAGTCTCCACTCTGTTGTCCAGGCTTAGTGAGTGCCCGTGGCAGTCGCCGTGCTCACAGCAACCTCCAACTCTGGGGCTCCAGGCATCCTCCTGCCTCAGCCTCCGAGTGAGCTGTGGACTACAGGCATGCACCACCATGCCTGGCTAATTTTTTCTATAATTTTTAGTATATCCAGCTAATTTCTTTCTACTTTTTAGTAGAGATGGGGGTCTCACTCTTGCTTAGGCTGATCTCAAACTCCTGACCTTGAGTGATCCGCCTGCCTCAGCCTCCCAGAGTGCTAGGATTACAGGCGTGGGCCACCGTGCCCGGCCAATAATCTATTCTTAAACGTGGAGTTTCTATCTAGGGAAATACACAGAGACATTAAATGTCTCACACAGTTTCAGGAGTTTCCAGATCCGTTGAAGCCATCGTGGACCACCAGTTGATCCAGCTTAACAACCACTTTTAAAAAAGAAACAACTTCTTTATTGAGATGTAATTCACAAACCATAAAGTTCACCCTTTTACTATGTGCAACTCAGTGGTTTTTAATATAGTCACAAAGTTGTACATCAGTCACCACTACCCAATTCTGGAACATTTTCATCACTCCAAAAAGAAAAACCCCACAACACCCCTTAGTAGTTACTGCCGACTTTCCCCCAGCCCCTGGCAACCACTATTTTTTTTTTTTTTTTTTTTTTTTTTGCTACTCTCTGTTTCTATGGACTTGCCTGTTCTGAACATTTCATATAAATGTAATCATGCAATGTATGGTCTTTTATGTCTGGCTCGTTTCACTTAGCATATGTTTTCAAAGTTCATCCAGGTTGGGTCATATATTGGTATTTCATTCCTTTTTATAGGCAAATAGTATTTTCCTTGTATGGATATACAGCACTTGTTTATCCGCTCATCAGCTGATGGATGTCAGGATCCTCTTTGGCCAATAGAGTACAGCATTTTACAGATGGGGAAACTGAGGCCCAAAGTCACCATAACCTGGACGGGACAGGTGTCCAGGCCTCTCCTAACATCCACCTTTTCCTATAGCATCACTCTGGGAATACCCAGAGAACAGAGTCCAAGGATATCAAAAGCTCACCCAGCCAGGAACTAGCCATAGCAGTGGCTTTGAACCAGTCTCCAGTGCTTTGCTTCTGGCTCAGGAATGCCAGGGTGAAGAAGAAAATCATACCCACTATGCCCCTCCCAGGCCCAAGCCACCACTACCTCTTCAATGCCACAGTTCCTAACTGGTCTTGCTTTTACCTTTGCCCCACTGCAATCTATTCTTAACAGAATCAGTGAATCTGCTAAAACCTAAGTCAGATCATGTCTCTGCTCCATGCATGACCCCCCGGTCATTCAACAGCAAAAGTCCTTCCTCTGGCCTTTGCGGGATCACATCCCAGCTCCCCCTATGACCTCACCTCCCTCTGTTCCAGCCTCCCTATTCTTCCTCCAACACACCAAGCACCAAGCATGCTCCTGCCCCAGGACCTTTGCACTGGCTCTGACTGCATCACTCTTCTCCCCGCAGCCCGACCACGGTTCAATACCTCACTTTCTTTGCCAGAGAAAACCGCCTTACCAAAGAGGCCTTTACTAACAACCTCACAGAAAACAAAACCTCTTCCCTTCATTGTTTCTCTCCCTAATTTTCATGTTATTTTTCTCTCCTCATTTTTCTTCATAGCATTAATTACCAGCTGACATATATATTTATTTGTTCATTTGCTTATGTTCCATCTCCTATGGAATGCAAGTTCCATGAGAGCAGGGACTCTCAGCCACGTGGTGTACTGCTGTGTCGCAGGTGCTGGCACATAGCAGGTGTTCAACAGGCATTATGGGATGGGCGGCTCAACCCTCCAGTACATAAACAGCTCGGTCCTTTCACCCACCCGTCCTGGCACCTATCAGGCTAATGCTATGACGATGACAAAGGCAGCTAATTTTTCTGGACCATTCCCTGTGGGCCAGGAGCGTTATCCCCTTACGCAGGCCGGCTCATCCTTGCCCCCGAGACTTAGCTATAAGGTTGAGCTCAAAGAGGTTGGGCAGCTTGCCCCAGGCCATGGCGGGTGGCGTCAGAAGAGGAGCCCAGGCATCTGGCCTGAGGGCGGACCGGTGCTCTTAAAAACTCTAAGCCACAATCTGCCACACTCTGGAGAAAGAAGAAAACACAACAGTGGAAGTGGAAGCCACCTGGCCAGCTCTGGGCGCTGGGGGCGGGACTGCTGCGTCCCACGTGCCGCAGTCCCGCCCCGTCGCTCTTTGATCTCTGCGGCGCCAGCGGCCCTGCTGACCCGGTCATGAGTTATGGGGGCCGCGGGACCCGTAACCCAGCATTCTCGGACTCCCAGGGTCGTCGGGACGCGGCGCCCCGCGTGGTGATGGATGAGCCGGCCGGAGCGCTGGCTTTGTCCCGGTTGGGCCGGGCTGAGAGCTTCAAGCCGGCCGTGGCGAGAGGCGGATCGTGTGTGTGTGTGTGTGTGTGTGTGTGTGTGTGTGTGTGTGTGTGTGTGTGTGTCGGAGGGCTTGTCTTTCTCCCTTCCCTACCAAGAAGGGGGGCACAGGTGCACCGTCGGCGACCCAGGTGACATGGTAGCGCCTTGAAGACCCCCAGTACCCCGCATCCCAGAGCGACCTCTCTGAGAAGCCCCCACTGCACCCCCGCCCTCCCGCGCGCACTTTCGGAAGCTACAAAGGCGCCGCCGCTCCCCGTCCCGCCTCCTCCGCCTTGGGCATTTCTTCCGTCCCATTTGACAGCCTAGGCGGAATAATCCTTTTGGGGACCGGCTGGCCCCTGCCCGGCAAGACGCTGCTGCAGCTGAGCGCGCAGCCTCGATCCATTGTTGGGGTCCGCCAGGGGACCCCCCGCCGCGGCCCTTTGTCGCCCGCTCCCCGCGGGGCCGCTCCAGATGCGCCACCGCTGTCGGCGCCCCTCCCGTCCCACGCGCCCTCGGCCGCGCCGAGGCGGCTCTTACGCACCGGGAGGAATGGGCTCGCCTCGCCCGGTGCCAGCACGGCCGCTGGGCTGCGCCCGCCTTTGTCTGCCTCCTTTGTCTGCCCCGCGCCCTAGCGGCGGCGGCGACTAGGCCTCTGGGGAGCGGGCCGGGAACGCCGAGCGCAGCTGGCGAGGGCTAGCTGGCCGGGAGCGCGCGGGGCCGGCCCCGGGCTGCCCCTAGCCGGGGGGCGGTTGAGCCCGCTGCCCGCCACCCGCCGCCCCTCCTCCGTCCCCTCCCCGAGCTCCCGCCCCCTTCCCTCCAGCCCGCCCCCTCCCGCTTCCTCCCAGCCCCGCTAAGCCTGGGCACATCCTCCTGCCACCCGCGCACCTCTCCGCGCCGTCCCCGCTCCGCGGCTCTGCCCTCGGCTGAGCTCGGCTCCCGCAGGCGCTCAGCCTCACGCCCCTCGGCCCCCGCCCCGCCGGCCGGACAGGTAAGGCACGGCCGCGGCCCGCCCCTGGCCCCGCCCTCCGCCGCACCTGCCTGGCTGCGCGCCCGGACAAAGGTGGGCTACCTGGCGCTCTCAGGGGCGGGGCGCGCGGGAGACTGGGGTTGGAGGTGAGGACGCTGCTTCCTTCTCTGCCCTCGGACCCGTCAGTCGGTCGGTGCGCCGATCGGTCCGCCGCCTCCGCTCCTCCCGCGTCTGCCCTCGGCTCCTGGCAGTGCTCCCGGCCTCCCCGTCCGCCCACCTGCCACTGGACGCTCACTTTTCCGCGCTCTGACAGTCCGCCTCGCGCGCGCCCTCGCCGCCCTCCCCGGTCCGGCTCTCGCTCACTCTCCTCCCTGGCACTAGCCTTCTCCCTCGGGGACCCGGTCTCTCTTTGTCTCTCTGTCTCTGAGTCTCCGTGTGGTCTCTCAGGCTGGGGACCCCAGTCCGCCACCGTTGGAAGAAGCCTCGAAGACTCCCCGCGCCCGGGCAGAGCTGGTGGAGTGCCTGCCTGCCCCTTTCGAGGCCGCCCAGGGGCTGGGGTGTGAGGGGGTCGCGGAGTGCGCCGGGTGCGAACCCGCGCCCTCCCCTCAGGGCCAGTACCCACCCTGCAACCCCGACGGCTCTGGCCTCTCTCCTCTGGGCTCCCGCTCATGACCCCTGTCCCCTCCGCTCCCTGAGTGTCTCAGCCTCCCCGAGGGTCTCAGCCGCCTTAGGGGTGCGCCTGCGCTTCCCGCCAAGTCTTCCTGGCCCCCGTCCGCGGATGCTCCATCGGCCTTCCCCTCCACGCGGTGATCTCCCCTGCCCGGTATACTCCTCCGCGCGGCCCACCTCCCAGCCCGGGGACACGCCAGGCGTCCCGAACCGGTTCAGTACCATCCCTCTGGGATCAGGCGGACAGGGGCTCTGGGAGTGATCTTGAACAAAAGAATGCACCTCTCTGAGCCTCAGTGTTCCCGTCATAAAACCGGGACACTGCTAGTAGCTACCTACAGGGTTGTGCGCGGAAGTGGTGAGAAAAGCATGTCGGATGGAGCTGGCGCTGGTTCACACGCGGGTGGGGAGGGGAGGGGAGTCTGCAGGGCCTGGGTGGGGTGGGGATAAGGGGTCCGCGGGAATGGATGGCAAATTCCAGGCTTAGCGACACTTCAGAGTAACCAACCACGATTCCCTCCCCATGCCGTTGGGGTCACCTCCTACCCAGACAGGCATTCACATCCTTACAAGCTCCCTTCTCTCTCTCTCTCTCCCTCCCGCACCCCCTACTTGTCCTAAAATCAGATAAAACAATCGTGTGAAAGGGGGCGCTTCTTCCAAAATGAGATTAGTGTGGCCAAGTCGGTGTTGCCAGCAGCTTTCCTTCGGGAAGCGGCCGCATGACTCATCCCTAACTCTGAGCCTCCGCCTTGCACTGATTTCTTTTATAATGGCACTAGCCACCGGTGGCATCCTTTCCTCCAGCGGGATTGTCTGGCCCCTGGACCTGTTGTGTGATTACCCAAGGCCCCGACCATCATCTAGGTCTTCATAACAAGTGACAAGCCACCCCAGGAGCCCAGAAGTGACGTGGGCCGAGTGGCTCAATGAGGGCAACTCCGGAACAGGGAAACCTTCTGGCTGGCAGGTTCTGGGCTCCCCTGGCTGAGTTTTTGTTTCAGTCGCAGCCAGTGCTGACAACGGGAGCCTTTCTCTTTAGAGCCAAGAATGGGGGTGCCCCCCCAAAACACACCCCACTCAGTCTCCTGCTCGTGACCCTGCCTGGCAGACCTGCCCTGCTTTGGCGACCCTGGTCCTCCCACCATCTCCGCCCTCTGCCTCCCCAGGAAAGCCAGCTCAGCGGCTCCTAGCACCCCTAGAAACCTTGCTCTGATCAGCCTTGCCTCTTGCCCACAAGAAAATGATAGTAACCCCCTGCCTTCCTCCCTCCCCTCATTCAATCCATCCCCTCTCCCCAACTCGAAGCCCCTCTGTGGCTCCCTGTGGCCAGTGAGTTAACTCCAAAGACCTCTGCCAGGCCAGCCCTATCCTGTCCCCCTCCACCGTGCCCCCTCTGCACCAAGGTCTCAGCCACATGAAGAGCTGATCATATCCATGGCCTGTCTTCCTCTGAGCTTTTGCTAGGGCTCCTCTTTTCATCCACAATGTCTCTCCTGCCTGGTTCAATCCAAGTCCGACATCCTTGCAGACCGAGGTCAGATGTCCCTCCTGTGGGAAGCCCCCCCTGCTGTCCCCTGCCTCCCTGTCTCATGGACTGCATGGATCTGTATCTGGAATCATCTACTCCTCCCCAGGTGGGGGCTGGGTCTCCTTCCACTTGCCGTCCAGTGCCTGGCACACAGTAGGTGTTGTATTGAATGGCATCCTTGATCAAAGGGATAGAAATGAGCAGTAAATTGCAAGCCACAGCTTCTCTCTGGGTTCTGCTGGGTCCTGCTGGCCAGGCCAGGGCAGAGTTGGTGGTAAGGCAGTGGGCTCTGGCTGGGAGTTGGGGTAGGAGGGAGTAAGCCACCCAGAAACCCCTGTGGTACTGGGGCTCTGCCCCACCCTGGAGGAAAAAGATGCTCTCTGTGCCTGCTTATAGGGGCAGCAACCGAGCCTAGAGAAAGTGCCTCGCCTGAGTCATGCAGTGGGCTGGAATCCCAGCTGGTTGCTTAGCAGCCCTGTGATCTGGAGGGACCCCTTCGCCTTCTCACCCAGGAATGTGATGGAGCAGGGGTTGCACCCTGGCCTCCCCGACCCCACGGCCTGCGAAGAGCAGGAGCCCCCTCCAAAGAGGGGTCCCAGCCATGTTCTGGGGCAGCTGGGTCCTATGAGCATCCCTGTTCAGGCCCATTCAGGGAGGACCTGCCTCTCTCTTGCTCTCTGGGCCCCCTCTGCTTCTCGTGCCCCAGCCCTCCCTCTCAAAAGGGAGCCACTGTGGCCAGTGATTCCCCAGGAAGGTCACAGGAAGTGGCTGAGTCTTTGCCTTTAGGGGATCTGCCTCTTGGGTCCCAGCTGTGGCAACCCCCCACACTCCAACACCATGGCCTAGCACTGACTATCTGGGACCCATCCCTTGATGGGGTGCATGGTAATGTCACATGAGGTCCCTGCTAGAATCCAGAGCATCTGGGTTGAAGTCATTGTAGGATTTATGGTTTTTAGGTGTTCGCTCTGTGCCAGGCTCTGGGCGGGGCCCAGCAGGTCACCCACCCTGAGACTCACAGCAGGTGCACTGGTGTTGGTTACTGAACGGTAGCGTGCGGAGCGGTCAAAGCCTTGGGAGTCAGATGGCTGTGGGTTCAGGTGCCAGCCCCACCAATTGCTCTACTGTGTGACTTTGGCCAAGTCCCTCAAATCTTCATTCTGATATTCCTATGTAGCCATTGTTGCTATTATTGTCTCAAAAATATTATCCACTTAAAAGGGCTAAATTAGATAACGTATATAAAACTCTTGGCCTAGAATAGTAGATGCCCAATAGATGATACCCAAACAAACATATTCATTTTTTCAGATGTGGAGCTGAAGCCCAGAGAGGTTAATTAACTTGCTCAGGGTCACGCAGCTATTAAGTGCTAGAGCCAGGATTCACGCCCAGGCTTGTCGGGCTCCAGGTGTCTTTCCACTGCACGAAGGCCTCTGCCAGAGCCTGAGAGCAGGCATTTTGTCACTTGAAGATGAAGTGATGGGTGTGACCAAATGGCAAATGCTGTTAGGTTGTCTGGGCACCAAGATAATGAAGTTTGAGGAGTATGGAGGAAGAGGGGTGGTGAGTACCTGTAATCCAGCAGAAGATAGGACTCCAGCTCAGGAGGTGGGTGGGGGTTTGCCAAGGTAGAGGGGCACAAAGCTGGAAGCCTCTGGGTGGGTGGGGCCTCTGAAGAGCCCCCCAAAATCCCTATACAGGTTTCTTAAGGTGTGAGGCCTGCTGGGAGGCGCAAATCCCAAGGCTGCTGTTGCAAACAACAAAAGCAGACGGAGCCGCCCCCGTGGGGCAGCCGAGGCTCGCTGGCTAAGATCACGGTCCCCTCCAGGCTGGCCTGGGCCTGTCCTGCCTCGCCATCCATCACCTGCAGAGGACAGAGGACGCCCAGCTGTGCCTGCCCCTTTGCACACGCGGGCGCAGACGCACACATGCTTGCAGGAAGCACCCCAACCGCCACCCCCCCCCGCCCCAGCCACCATACGCCCCCTCTTTCCCCTCTCCGTGATGACAACTCCTGATTATTTGTCCTCACCACCCCCCACTCACACACAGACACACACACACCAGGGCTGTCCCACTCACTCTGTGTACCTTCACCTCCCCTAATCTTCACAGCCACCGCATTTTACAAAAGAGGAAACTGAGGCTCAGAGACTTGCCCAAGTCACATAGCTCCGTCCACGCTGCTCAGTGGGGGTCCTCCCGTGGCTCAGCTCAATGCCTTGCCTGTGTGTAATAGACCTGTCCCTTCTCGGCAGGACTGAGTCTCCCCTGTCCGTGGGGACACCTGGTGGCAGGATGTGTCTTTGCAGGCAGATTAGAAGCTCCCCGTTGTGAGACCGTCCCAAGGCCAGAGCTGTGTCTCTCCTATCAGACTGGGAAATCCCTGAGGGCGTCACTCTGGCTCCCCCATTAGGCTGGGAGCTTCCCCTGGGCAGGGGCTGCTTCTCGCTTAGACTGAGAGCGCCCTGGGGGCAGGACGCGTGTCTCTCATCAGCCTAGGGGTCCTCCCAGGCACCAGTCACGACCAGGAGCCCTCATATCACAGGGAGCCAGGCTGTGTGTCCCCCATCAGACTGGCGGTTTCCAGGAGCAGAAACCAGGTCTCCGCTGTCAGACTGGATCACGTTCCCTTGCAGGACATCCTGGCCCTGCAACCTGGCCTGGGCGCGGGGGGGTGGCGGTTGGTTCTGCAAGCCATGTGCGTTTGCCGCCGCGTGTGTGCAAAGGGCAGCACAGCTGGGCGTGCTCTGTCCTCTGCAAGTGATGGATGGCGAGGCCAGGAACAGCCAGGCCAGCCTGGAGGGGACCATCATCT